TGCCAGCTAGTACTGGTTACATGTCAGTGCCCACCACTAGGTTGTGGGCTCCCTGAGCACAGGGACTGTGTCTTTTGCATCGTGGTGTCCCCAGGCCTCTCACAGGCCCTGAACAGAGCAGCTGCACTGGATGCAATTGAGCGGAGGGAACCCTGATGTGCCTCGCCATCAGCTGGTCCCCTGGATTCCCTCCTCATTCCCATGGTAGAGCTGTCACCTTCAAGAGTGAGCAGGTCCTCAGATACATCTGGTAAACCCCTCCTTTCACATCATAGTTATTAAGATGAAATGAGGAAACTGAGGCCCAGAGAATTGGAAGCCAGTACTTCTCCCCTTGAGAGTTATCCCATAGTGAGGCCAGACCCTGAGCCTTGGGTATAGGGGACCCACTGGGGAAGGGGCTGCTTTCCAGAAGAGACATGGCTCCCATCCAGGACCCTAATTTGGGGAACAGGACCTGGATGCCGCTGACTACAGCTCCATGGCCCTGGTTGGACAGCACAGAGAGCTATGTAATACGGACATCTGAGATGGGCTCCAACAGTGGCAGGAACAGGATGCAACTCTCTAGAGAGCCTCAATGAATTTGGAAATCACCACAGCCACTCTCCTAAAAGGCCCCCCAAAGCGACCTGCATGTCCCTCAAGGTCGTAGTTCCAAGGTTCATTGTGAGGGAAGTGAGCGAGGGGAGAGGGACCAGAGGACAAGAGAAGCTTGCAAGAGGGCCTGCTCCCTGTGTGACTATGGGGAAGGTACTGGGAGGCGGGAAGAGTGGGAAGCCTGGGGCAGGCCTCATTCACGTATTCCTCCAATACTGAGCATTTCCTAGGCACCAGAGACTGTGCTGGGTGTAGGAAAACAATGGTGGGAAAGAGCAGGGCAGCACCTAGTGCCCAGCTCTAGGGAGTGTTTGCTCCTCACACAGACTATGACGTGAATAGCACCCCTGGAGGTGTTCAGTGCACAAGCTGCTGAACTCCGTGATAACCCTGAGGATGACATAGTTCTTGCCCTAGAGTGGGACAGCCACCAGACAGTGCAGCGCCAGCAGTGGGGCACCCAGTGAAAGCACACAGCCAGGCTCGGAGAGCAGGGCTGAGACCTGAAGTGTGAGGAGAGATCACCCGGGTGAGGGTGATTGGGGGACAGGTGGGGAGTATTCCCAGCAAACAAAATATGTGAAGGCCCAAAGGCAAAGGATGGCATGGAGACAGAGAAAGGTACATAGGAATGGCTGGAACCCTAAGTGGGCCAGGACATGGAGTGATAGAAGAGCCTGGAGAAGAGTTTGCCCTACATGTATGAGGGGCCATGGAAGTACCATGGGGGGAGTACAATGATCTTCATAAGGAGGACTCAGCTGCAGTGTGGAGATAGGTTGGGAGAGGCACAGCCTCAAGGAGCTCTGTGGGGGTTTGTCCAGGGGTGCAGGCCAGAGATGGTAGTGGGCTGGCCTAGAGTAGAGGCAGGAGGTGGCAGGAGAGGGTGGGATTTGGAAAATAGTTGAGAGGTAGCATCAGTGGGGTGTGGGGTTGAAGCAGATGCAGGGGAGAGAGAGGAGCCACGGAAAGTGACTGGGATTCTAGACTGGCTGATGGAGTAGGGCTGGCAAGTTTGGGGCCTGGGGGAATGATGCTTGTCCAAGATTCCTTCCAGCCCAAGAACTATAGGATTTGTGTGACCGGTGCAAATCATGGGATCAGAACACTAAAACCAAGATCTCAAAGAAAACTAGAGTCAGGTCCTGGCTGAAGGCTTCATGCCCATCCCCATCCCCCTTCAGGTCACTGAGTTATCGTTTTCCCCTTTTCATCTTTCCAGCATCTTCTTCATCCGGGCACCATGGCCAGCACTGGGGATATAAGTCAGGTGCCCTGTTTCTGAGAGGGAGTCAAGTAAACAGGAAACGATGTTACAGGGCGGAACAGCTATGACAGGGAACCCCTGGCTATGGGAGCGCTAAGAAGGGGCATCCAGTGCAATGTTGGGAGGGCAGGGAGAGCTGCCAGGGGGAGAAGGAGCATGGAAAGTGAGCCCCAAAGCCAGAGGAGGAGTGATGGAGGCCCAGTGCAGGAGTGTGGAGGGAGTAGGAGCATCAGCAGTGGAGGCAAAGGGAACAGTATGTACAAAGCCCCAAAGAGATGTGAGGCAATGAGGCCAGAGAAGTTAAGCAACTTTTCCAAGGTCACATAGTTCATTTGCAGAAGAGAGAGGAGCAGAGCTCAGTCTCTAGTAAATGTATGCCATTTAATCACTTTGCTCTAGCCTGTCAACCCTTTCGCTCCTTTCTCCTACCTCCAGATATGCTTGGCCCAGAGAGACACCTGAGCCAGGGGAGGTGAGCTCCTTCCCAGGGCTGGGTCCACCTAGCATGAGGATCCTGTCACCTCTACTAACCCTCACCTTTCCTGCCCCACTCCTGCTGGCCTGATGTGCAAGCCCATCTATTAGAATTATGTCATGTCCACTATAAAATGTGTCCATGGGCCCTAGCTGGTTTTGCTCAGTGGACAGAGCGTCGGACTGTGGACTAAAGGGTCCCAGGTTCGATTCTGGTCAAGGGCACATGCCCAGGTTGCAGGCTCGATCCCCAGTTCGGGGCGTGCAGGAAGCAGCCAATCAATGATTCTCTCTCATCATTGATATTTCTATCTCTCCCTCTCCCTTCCTCTCTGAAATCAATAAAAATATATTTTTAAAAATGTGTCCATGGTACTAATCAGAACCTGTGCACTCTATCTCCCACCTCGTCATCAGCATTAAAGGAATTCTCCTGCCCAAGCTGAAGCATGAGTTTTCTGTGCTGTTATTAACTGGACACTCCTTAAGTTGAACTGTAATCTCTTTGTGGAGAGACCATGTTTCTTTTCTTTTCGTACCCTCCTTCCTTGTTGCTTTGCACATCATAGTTATTAAAAAATATTCACTCAGTGGGCCCTTACTATGTCTAAGACACACTGCTAGATGCTAGGGGGAGGGTAAAAAGATGAATAAGAGATGGTCTCTGTGCCCAAGGAGCAGAGTCACGGGGAATTGAGAGGACTCCCTCATCTGGGCCAACTGGCCACTCCCATCACCCCGTGGTGTTCAGATGGGCTGTGCTCCAGCCACTGCACAGACTCACTACCTCACAAGCAAGACATTCTGAGTTTGTAACAGCTCTAGTTGTTAATCAAGCTAAAATCTTCCTCTCTTATAGCTTTCATACATTAGTACCACTAGTTTTGCCTAGAATGACAGAAAATACATCTAATCCCTTTATCACATGCCAGCTCTTCCATACTTAAAGCTTGTCTTCATGTCTACAGTTTCACCATATGTCTCCAGCCAATACTGGAGAATCCTACAGATTCTCATTTCCCCATTAAACGAAGCCCCAAAGCCAAGCATGGGCTCCAGACAGGCCCAAGCAGTAGCCACTGTGGGACTCCGTGCCTGCTCCCTATTCTGGGGCCTTGCCTACCCTCCTGTGAAGGCTGCTGTGCTCACTTCTTTGGCAGCTCTTTCACCATCTGTTGACTCATCTTAAGCTTTCAGTGAACTGAAGCCCTAAGGCCTTTCTCCAGGACCAAGCCTGCCCATCTTATACTAGTGCTGTGGGCTTTTCAAAGCGAAGAGAAGAACTTTCGATTTTTTTTCTATTTAATTTGACTTATTTCACATAAACCATCTTTCTATCCTGGATTCTATCATCAAGGTATTAGCTGTCCCCTATTAGCTGTGTCATCAGAAAGTTCTGCCTCGTTACAATGATTGAACCAGACAGGACCAAGGATAGCGCCCCACTCACCTTGGAATTGGCACTGATGGAAAATAAACGGTTTTGAGAATTCTGTTTGAGAACAACCCACCTGATTATATTGTGATCTAATCTACTTTCTATCATGTCTGAATAGCTATAATAAGAGATTTTATCAAATACCATTTGAGAGCCAGGTGCACCGAACTGCAGCTGGCCCCGGTCCAGGACAATAGCTTTGCATTGATGCCTAAAGAAAGACATAGGTTGGTTTCGCTTGATTCAGTTTTATTGACCTTTCTATTAGCTTCCTTTCCTGAGACTCACCTTGTCCACTGTATTAAAGATTGGTTCTTTAGGACCTACTCATTTCAGAGCAAAAGGGACCTTGGAGACGATTCAAGATCTGATTCCCAATTTTGCTGATGAGAAACCAATACCCAGAGTGCTTAACTGGCATTCCTGAAGTCACAGCATTACTAGAGCAAGAACAAGGCATAGCAACATCAAGTCATAATGTCTTTCTCTAAGCACATTCATACATGTGTGCATATGGACACACATACACACACACATACACATGCATACATACACACATACTTAGAGATCTCCCTTCAGGTCTCTTAATTGTCCACCAAGAAAAACTGTGGCATTATCATTTAGGGGTTCAGCTGGGACCCCATAACTGATGACTTTCTTCTCCTGCTTCACAGAACAGAAGATAAGGCCTAGAATCCCTCAAAGGGACTTGTTCTCCAGCAGGGAAGCTGTGGACTTCCCCCAACCTGGGTTTACCTTGGGAATCCTCACTCTACCAGGAGACCACTGTCTTTGAACTTCATTTGAGCCTGTGTGTGCCTAGGCATGGGATTGCCCCTTGAGTGGGCATATAAGCTGGGCTATCTCTTCTAAGTATTGAGTGGAGGTGGGATTTCCCCAGAGAACAATAGGCCACTTGCCTAATGCTGTGTGGGGCAGTTTAGGCTTCCTCCATATGGTGAGAGGAGCAGAGCCCTGGACACACTGCCTAAGGGCCTGGCATTGCAAGGGTGTGACCCTACCATGTGGAGGCTGGTTACATTGGAGACTGGGCTGCGGGGAAGGGCAGATTACTTAGCTCTTTTTGAGAGACCTCGTGGCAAAAAAGATGCAGTTGCATCAAAACTGGGCCCAGATGGGGAGAACCCTGGTACCCTGGACAGCTCCCAAAGGCAGGGCCCCTTCACCACCCTTCCCACCCCCCTTAGAGGCCCTGGGTACCTGTTTATTCTTTAGGTCAAGGGAGAGTTCGTAATCGGAGGCAGCAGGGGCGTGGGAGCAGAGCGCTGTCGCCAGGGCAGGCTGCTGCCAGCCAGGGGAGGCCCCACGGTGGGGGCCAGCCCTTGGGGAGGCACCCCCCGCCCCTGGCCTCTCCTCCTCCTCCTGCAGCTCCTGGGCTTGAGCCTTCGGGGCATGGGCACTGGGTCTGCCGGCTGCCACCACGGAGTCCTCCATGCCCCCACTGGCCTGGGCACAGGAGCCGTCACTGTGAACAAAAGGCAACGGTGCTCGGTTGGCGGAGAGTGGGACAGGGTGCATGTGGGTGCAGGGGTGGGGGGAGAACCTGGGCAGTCTGGCAGCAATGGGCCTTTCTAGTGGTGAGGGCTGGTGGAGATGTCTCCTGCAGTCCCCTCTGGGGAGGGGCTATCTTGGCAGGGAATAGCCCCAGGCAAGGAGGAGGACCTAAACTTGAGGAGGGTATCCCACATCGAGGAAAGAAGCAGCTATGGCCAGAGCTCATGAACCTCTATTTAGGAGCAGTAGCACAGAGTGGCAAAGAGTAGATTGTCTGGGTTAAAATGTGGGCTCTGCCTCTTAGTAGCTAGTGGGTCTCTGAGCAGATTACTTAACCTCACTGTACCTATTTCCCCATCTATAAAATGGGCATAATAATAGTATCTACTTCATAGGAATGTTGGAAGGCTTAAGTTAGTTAAAATTCTTAAAACAGTGCTTGGTTCATGGTAATCGTTGTGTAAGTGTTAGCTATCATAGTTATCAGATACTTGGCTTACATAGTGAGGAGAAAGCTGGCCCACACCGGACCAACTCCCTCTTTTGTCCAAAATGAGTCTGGGGAAGGAGTCATGTTTACAGGCCTGGCTGGGGCAAAAGCCCCTTCAGGGCAGGTGGGTGCCAGCTTTTCTGGGCTGTATCTGTGAAGAGGAGGGTTCTTGCCCTGCTGGGTTTGGGAAGCATCTGTTCTCTGGGTCCCTCCTCTTCTCCCGTGAAGCCACCAAACAGGCTGAGCTGTAGCTGCTGCCTGCCTGCCCACTATAAGAAGACACCTGCTAGCTGGACAGCCACACCCCAGCCTGCCCTGAAGTGTTAATGCAGTTAGGTTTCTCCCTTCCCCAGTCAGCCTCCAAGTTCTTCCCTTCCCTCAAGGCCCAGTGCTAAGTCACCTCCTGCATGAAGCCTTCCCAGGTGACTCCAGCTTTCACTGCCCTATCTGCTGGAATACTAGGAGCTGTGCTTAGAGAGTCAGTGTCTATTTCACAGAGGAGAAGTATCATGGCTCACAGTATGGGCTCAAATCCAAGCTCTTCCACTGTGTGGCTTTGGTCAAGTTGCTTTTTCTTATCTGTGTAGTGGAGATACCAGTACCTAGCTTACTGAGTTATTGGGGGTGGGTGTAAAGGAGTCAGTATATGAAAGGTGTTTAGCACAGTTCCTGGCAGAGTAAGTGTTCAATAAACATCAACTCCTGTTTTCCCCATCTGTCCCCTCCCAGAGGCCAGGACCTATATTCCACCTGGTTCTCTTCCCGCACTTAGTTCTGGGCAAAGGATGAGTGCTCAATAAATATTTGCTGACTATAGAATTAAAGAGAATCCAAGGACCAGAGGATGACCTCTGCAGTGGACAGTGACAGAAGGCCGGGACTGAATGGAACCCCCAGGTCATCTAGTTCACTCTTCCAGTCTCCCTTTTTCACAGATGAGGAGCAGGGGCCCAGGGAGGTGGCATGAGCCTAATTAGAGAGCTAGGCAACATCAGGACTTGCTTATTTCCTCCATGGCTTTGCCTCCATCTAAAATGCCCGAAATCGTACCAGAGAGGAGACCTCTTCCTGTTGCCTCCACCCAATGTTGGAGCCTCCTGGTGCTAAGAATAACCAGAGGCAGAGTGAAGAAGCCTCTCTTCACTAAATCTCCATCTGTCCTCTCAGCATCCCCCAGATAAAAAAGAGCTCATTGGCCTGCCCTGGAACCAGGAACCTCAAACTCCCTAAGGTACCCTTCTTTGCTACTGTGAATTCCTTTGCTCTGTCAATTCTTGTGTGGCCACCAATGAAGCTACACAGTTGGATGAGCTCTAGATATCTGATACGGTTTTCTTTTTAATTAGTATCACCAGGAGGTTCTTTTAAAGCTCTGACTTCAACTCCTCTTGCTTAAAGTATATGCCCGTTCTTCCTTCAGGGCACATGAAAACAGTCCTTTCCCTCTGTGAGCACAGCCTGCCTCCAGGTTCTGGAGGGCAACATTCAGTCTTCTCCATCTCCTCTACCAACATCCATCTCCCCCACGACTGTCCTTGGAACTGACAGCCAAGGTCTCTCCACCCCAAAAGGTTTCAACTCTTTAGAGACTGGTGGCTACACAGAGCTACAGATATCTTTAAAACTAGCCCTTTGTTTTGTCTGATTGCTAGAGTGTGCTTGGCAAGAGGTTCTGCAGAGTTGATGCCACTCAATAGCAGGCCTCAACCAGCAACACTAGAAGCTGGTAGATAAATATACCAGCTTCCTCCTCCCTTGGGCTAAACAACTCTGAGGCACATTCCATGCCATCTCCCCAAAGTGCCCAGTGCAATGGAGCTCTGGTTGGCCAAAGAAATGATCTAATCATTCAATGAATTTGTTTCCTTCTTTTCTGTGTCTCATTCCCAACTCTCCTATTGACACATTATAAAGTTACCTTGCCCCAAATAAACGACTTATGTTAAAACAAAACAAAGTTTTGAAATAGCCTTCTGTGTGGGCCACCCCTCTGGATATAGACAAGGGCTCTGAGGCCTTCTCACCTGAACTCATTCACAGGGCCTAGGAGTTATGCTGCCCCCACTGCCATCTCCAGCACATGTGCACAGATGCATGTGTGTGTGCATGCGTGCACAGGAGTTATGCTGCCCCCACTGCCATCTCCAGCACATACACATGTGCACAGATGCATGTGTGTGTGCATGCGTGCACTCATGTGTGTGCGTGCACTCATGTGTGTGCGTACACACACACAAACTCGTGTACACACAATGTTTCTAAATAGCTGTGAGGCTTTGAGTAATTCATGTCCTCCTCCTGGGTCAGTTTCTTCACCAGTCACATGAGGGGAGTTTACTCCTCTCTCAGGACCTTCCAGCTCAGACATTTTGGGAGCTTGGGTTGCAGTGCCGAGACCTGTCCAGCCAGGCCCACCAATTCTAAGGTTCCAGGCTCTCTAGCTGGTAGAACCAACTCCCACCTATGTGCACAGGGACCTAAGAGGCTGTGTTCCTCACAGGTATATGACTAAGAGTGTAGAAAGAGGACCCTGTCCTTGCCTTCCTTCCTTAAACTTCTCCACAGACTTGTGTGGTAGAAGGTGACTATGGAAACCCAGGACTGCTGTCATCAGTATGTATGGCAAAGTTTAAGGTTATATAATGGAAGGCAAAGAACATTGGCTTTGATTTCAGGAAAACGTGGGGTAGAACCCTGGTCTGCTACCTACTACACGTGACCTTGAGCAAGTTATCTAACCTCCTCATCTACAAAATGGGCATCCTAATAACTCTTTTGCAAGATTTCTGTGAGAAATAAATATAGTTTTCAAGGCACCTAGTACAGTGCCTGGCACACAGTAGTCCTTGATAAGTGGTGATGGCAGTGGTAGTTGTATTCTGAGCTGGAACCCTCCAGTATGGAATCTCAAAAGAATCCCAGAAAAATAGCATGAGAATTCCTAAGTGGAAAGGGTTCTCAACATTTAGTCTGTCAACTTTCATGAAACAGAAACAATAGAATTCGTGTGTTTTTTATCACACCTCCTGGCCTTTCCCAGCCCTCCAGACCTGTCAACTTTTATGAAACAGAAACAATAGAATTCGTGTGTTTTTTTATCACACCTCCTGGCCTTTCCCAGCCCTCCAGACTAACTCCCAGGGTGTTTAGGGAGAAGACTGAAGATGGGCTGGCTTCCTTGAGGCTTCCTCCCACCTCTGTTCTCCATCCATGGGAGCAACAACATAGTGAAGGGCCTTGCTCTGGAATGTCACCAAGTCATGGGACCCATAGAAACCCCATGGCCTCTGAGGAATCTGTCTGTATTCACCACCTATAGGTCATCCCTTTAACTGTAGCCACCACAGTGTGGGCATCCCCTAGGGGGGCATTTGTCCAGTGCCTATTGTGTGGATTTGTGTTTTGGTCACTTTATCAAAGAGCAGTGGAGGCCTGAGTGTTCAGTACCTCTATTTAAAGACTGAGTATCAGTAGAATGTTCCCAGCCTCTATTTCCCTCTCTGCACTCCACCTATAAAAATAGTCCAAGGAAAGGTTTTAATCTTCATCTTAGGCTGTCATAGCTGGAAGGACTATCCTTCAATCCATAGTCTCTTATGGAATTGGCAGCCCATTGTTCCAGCTCCTGGAACATCATTCCTCCCAAGACCCAGTCTGTGTGTCCCTTAAGCTTCCAGAGTTTGCTGGGCTGATCTCACATCATGAAGCTGCCATCCCAGTGGGTCAGATTCCAGGCAGCCTGGCACTTGAACAATCATCATTTGGAATTTACTCTGTGACCTGCATAGCTTCTTGCAGCCCCTCCCTTGAGCTGCTGGAGGGGGATCCTGGTGATCATAGCTGTCTTGGGCTCCATGTCCATCTCCAGAAACAGAATCTTTGAATGGCAGCCCACTAGCCTGGGGACACTTAAGGTCACTGCTGACATATGGGGGATGCTAATCACAAGAGTCTTCCCTGGGTTAAGGCACCCATTTGAGAAGGTGAAAAGTAGAATGTGAGTGGCACCAAAGTGAGAGGTTCTTAGAAGGCTTTGGTTGTGCCCACATGATATTAGCCTGATACATATACAGGAGTCCAGGCCATCCATGGAGGTTATTCTATGCATGAGAACATCGGATTTGAGTGTGGGAAATGAAAGTCTTTGAGAAATTGAGAAAACAAGAGTTGCTCAGAAAAATATGTACGTTGGAGCTGAACCCGGGGAGGGCCACTCATGTGGAAAGCCAGCTCGTGTTCAGAAGGATGCTGGGTGCCTGCTGAGCACACTAGTCCTGGCGCATATGCGACTGCCCTGGGGCTCCAGTGACCACTCCAGCCTATCTATCAAGTCTGCTACCATAGTTGACTTCCTACAATGCAGATGCTTTGATATCAATTCTCTGTTCAAAACCCATCTGAGACTTTCCAGTGCAGTACTGCTGGGATAAAGTCCACCTGTGCGGCACTCAGGAGCATTCATGATCTTATCACAACCTCCC